TTAAAGGAAAAGTATAAAAAAAATCGCAAAATCATTAGGTTATAAAATATTTAAAGCAAGTAACGATAGGTTTAAAAATTTTACAAAATGAATCGAAGAATAATTTGAGTTTGTACCTCACATTTCAGTAAAACAAGCAAAAGTAGCTCTCACATTGTTTATGGGACATTTACCTAACATTTTACCGGAATACTATTACGTAAAAATTCAAAACAGACTATTATTTATGTTTTTAAAAACCGAACTTAAGATTATTTTAGAAAAATATCTCTCACCTGATTCTCACATAATTCTTTTTTTTTTGTTTTCTATTTTATGCTGACTGCTACTTAAGTATTATTTGATTATAACATTTTAAAAATCATTTGATTCTGACAAATCTGAATGAATAATTCAATAAAAATCAATAAAAACACATCCGTGTACTAATATAATATATTTTGTTATAGTAAATACCGGGACTCATAATATAATATAATAAGAACGAATCACTCTTATTTTATCGAGCATTTATTTTGTGTAACGAAATCCTTTCTCGATATTGTTTTTTACTCGATAATTGTGCTTTGGATACATACAATATTTATATTAATTCTGATTAATGCCGTTATTATCTACCCAACTACTCATGCATGTTATTTTTATACATTATATGAGTACCAATATCTATACAAACCTATACGGCCATACTACTATTTCACACGAAAAACAAGCCAAGTTTTTTTTTCAATTATATAGCAATATATTTTCTTCAGGCATAAATGTCAATTATTTTTGTATTGACGTCGGTAATAGAAGGGTATATTATAAAATAATACAATATTACGTATAAAGTTAGTACATGTATACGCATATACATATAATGTTATCTGATATTAATCATAGTGATATGAAATATTATACTTAAAAAAGTAAGTGATACACGGAATTGTAATATAAAATGCAATTAAACAACATTTTTAAATCTCAATTCCCCTTTCTCGGGTATGTCGTACATGTTAACCAAATCTTGATTATCTTATTTGAAGAGACTTTATGAATAAATTTAGTTTTTTATAAATCAAATAAAATATACCTCCTAATGCTAATATCAAATATAATTAATCAGCCAACCAGGAGATGGTAATTTTATATTTACGAGTGCTTAACTTTTTCTACCCAATTCATATTTACATTCTTTCTCCATATTTATATAATAATCTCTAAAAGGAGGGTAATAAATCATTGGTTCATAGCTAAGTAATGAAAAATCTAATTTTGTGTTTTGAAAACAATTTGATTCATATCTTAATGTAAAGTAAAAAACATTTACTGATAATTTACCTAAAATACCAATAAATGGCTGGAAATTCTGGGAAAACCATCCGGAGACATTTCTGGACATTTTTTTAACGAATTGTAGAAAATACGTCTTAAATATAGCAAATGATTGTAAAAATGCCTACATTTCAGCGGAAGAGCATTCTATTTATTGAATAATATAATTTTGGTTAATGAAATATAAAAATAAAATTTTATTATAAATGTTATATTTTAAATATTACTTCTAATTAAATGCGATATTCATGATTACATCATGATGTAAAATATTAATATCTGATGCTGCTTCTACTTGTAGAGGTTGGTTATTTGATTGTTGCACTGCTGTCTGCTTGGAATTAGTTATAGTCTAAAAAAAGAATATATTATAACTGATTCACATTAAATAATACTAAATTGTATACTTACAGTATTATCGTTATCTGAAGAGTCTAACATTGATCTATTAAGAGTTACACTTACTGTTGATAATTCAACTTTGACACATCTATTTATCAAAAAATTATTTTCTTAATTGGTTTTTTTTTTATTTTTTTTTTTTAATATTTACAATCTATTACAAAAAATTGAACAATAAGTAAAATAGATAATAGAATAAAAAGTGGCTAGGAGAATGGACAGATTTAAGAAGCCTTCCAATGAAGTCACTTCATAGTAGATTCCATTTCCTATTCGATCCTTTTTATTATTTTTTCTATGAAATTTCAAATAATATCAGCTGTATTACAATTTATAAAAAATATAAATAAAACAATATACAAAAAAATTAATGAAAAATTAATTAAAATGCCAATATAAATGTTATAATATCAATATATATAATCGTTAGTATTGTAATTCAAAAAATTAATTTAAATACTCAAATACAATGTACCAGTAACGAAAAGGTTAGGTATTACAATTTACAATTACTAAACTCGTACTATTGTACGGTTTCTTCATAAATTTATATAATAAAAAGAAAAAGCTCTTATACTCATTCCCGCGTGTTCAAACACAGCATTCCTATAATATAGGCAGCGGAGGCGTAAAATAATGTTTTATTTGATACTTTATGTTAATTGTTAATATAATTTGATATATAATAATAAATTTATCATATTTAATATCGTAATCTATCTATTTAAAAAACACATGTAGGAGACCACCTCTATTCATGTATCAACGCTCAGATGAAACCACTGGGTTTAGAGACTTGAAATTTTGTATAAAAGTTTCTTAAGCAATGTAAGAGCGCACTAAGAGAGGACTTTTCAAAATTCGACCTCTAAGGAAGTAAAAGGGGTTTTTTTTTTTAAATTTGTAAAGATTTTATATGGCTGTATATGCATATTTTTCTGACATTTAATGCTGTGTATAACTAGTAATAAAAAAAATTAAGCCCCGGAAATCGACGACCCGCGATTGCAACACACAATAGATACCGGTGATAGACAGTCAAAATCCAAAGGTAATGTAAAATTGTGAAAACGTGCGAAGTTCATTTTCTCTCAATCGTCGGTCCTAATCTAATAGTGCTATAACAATTATTAAACTGTGATTTCCGCATTAGCATTATCAATACAATTAAATTAAACATTAACACATGACCTACGAAAATACCAAAAAAAGATACTAATACACAGGAACACCGTATCCGGATAGCTCATGATATATTTTAATAAACGCCAACAATTTAGTTCATATTAAATTGTTCATAATTTTTAAAATAATTATTTAGACTTAGCAAATAAACTATAATATATTTGTATGACATTAAATTGAATAAAATATAAATTTAAGTAAATAGATTATATAAATAATATTATAGCCTTATGAGATTTATATATTTGACATTTAGATTTACCAAATACCACAAAATTATCAATTTATTTGTTCAAATTACGATTAAAAGCGGCCACTCAAAATATCTCGTATAAAAACCCAAATGACGCTCTGTCATCCGCTCAGTCACACCTTGTCTATTAAAATTGTTTGATTTTTGTGGTTATTTTATACTCGCATTATACTTTAATTATAAAAAAAAAATTGTTTAAATAAACTATTATTGACAATTCATTCAAACCTGAAGACTTCAGTCAAAATCAAATCCACAAAACCGATATAACAGTAACAGAAAGTAAGGTTTTACAATTATTATACTCATACCGTAAGTTTCCTAATTAATTTATATAAATAAAATAAAAAGCTTTAATATTCATCCTCATATAAGATATTAAGCAATGATGTCAAGTAATCAGTAAAAATAACATTAAATTCATAATTCATATAACAACTATAAAAACTTGTTTCTTAATTAAATGACCATTCATCTCACCCTGTTTCATAATCTTATTTTTAACTTATTAGTTATTACAATATAGTATATAACTACAATATTTAATACATAGAGTATGGTTGTGCATGGTATCCGCGGTGCAACAGTCGATATAACGCAGTAAATTGCACATTTATTCTTATAAAAACACTTTTTCGTAGTATCTATAAAATATATTATATATTATATCATAATATTATTAGCGAAGACAGCAGTAGGTACTAAAAGATATTATTGTTGAGCAATGATTTTTATCGTACAAATCGGGCGGCCGTCTATACAATACTTTCGGCAGCGACGGCTATTGTAATCGTATGGAATTAGTTGTGATGATTGCTACCGTACAATAATAGTAATAAAACGGTAAATAATATAGTTTGTCATTTTTTTTTAAATTAAAATTTTGAGAGTGACTGATGGACACTCGAAACTCTTTCTCTGTGCATATCACTAGAAAATTACCCCACTAATGGATAGTTTCTGATGGAAAATTTAATTTGGTTGATACTTTGCGGTTTGAAATTTAGAAAAGCTCTTGTATTTATAAATATGTATTTCGTATAAATTATTTATTGATAATTTTTTAGTTTAAATTATATTACATAATGAATAATTTTGTATTTAGGTATACATTTTGAGTTTATGTTGCAATAATTGTTGTATACTACTTTAAGAACGTCAATACTCTGAAATAGATCGTTTTATAGGGTTATGCCGTTATGAGAAATTTGTTTTATATTAAATTTTTTTCGTTAACAAAAATCACGAAAACTAACATTTCTATGTAATTTTATATAATTATCTAGTTATTTAGGTATAATTATACTTGAAATGTCAGTCATCATACTACTGTTCATATATATTATATACAAACTGCAACTAAACATTTATTTAATAGTTTGTAATTAAATGAATATGGTTGATGTGTTCATATTTATACTATTATATTGGTAAAAATTTATCATAATACTATCACTAAACGGTTATATTAACAGCCCACATTCTATTGATTTATTTTAATAATTTACCAAAATACAATATAGCTATGGTGACAAATACATCGATCATGCATAAATTTTGATAGGCAATCGTCAATTATTTATGCGTATTTCCAAATTTAGTTTGATTCCGATTAAAGCTATAGTTCTTATGAGGTGACTACTAAAATAAAGACTAATAAAACGCTTAAACACCACATATTCATTCTTACGTTGATGTATAAATCTACGTTGAACCGGAAATGCAACAATAAATACAATGTGTATATATATACACATATATTATTTATTTATATTACCTTAATTAACTATTACAATATGAAAATAAAGTGGTATAAATAATTGTTCTGAATTTTGTTTAATAGAACTTTACCAACATGAACCATCAACAACTCTCCGAAAATCAGGCTCATTGTTGCAGTTCAACAACGGCGAGAACATCGAGCAACAGGATGAATACAGCGATATTGTAAGGATAAATTATTTAATCAATACATATTATTGATTTAAATAAATAAATATATAATAATCTAATCTTTATTATTAATATTTATTAACCATAAGTTTTAATTTATTTTAGAAACAATTCATTTAAGTACGTGGTTATGGACTTTGAGTTTACGGTGTTAGAAAAAAACAAACACGTTTTAATCTGCGGGGCCATGTCCAATAGTTTAGACTGTTTTAAACTAGTTAAACTAGAGGGGCGGCCTTTGTTATTAACTGACAAAATAATCCGTCCCATTATTGACCGAGAACAATCTTGGGCTGTGAAGAGAATAATGAAGATTTTTGGATGGCCATCGGCAAAAGCTGAGATCTTCTTGTCGCAAATATATGACAGTACTAACTCGACCATTAATAACCTAAATCGGAGTACTATACTTGGCTATATAAAACGGGGGGGACAGAAGACGATAATCGTTTTTTGGAACGATGACACCGACAATTTCATTCTAAATAGACTTGACCTATCTTACCCGTTTGTAAACATTAGGGCTTACGACATAGATAACAATAAACAATTTTATTTACAATTACAATACAATAAACGTACAATCACAGAAATATCGATAGGCTCGGTCAATAAGAATGGCCGAATGTTAAACTTACTAGAAACGCACGACCTATGTTGTAAAACTGACCACAAAATCACACATGTTCATGATCCTTCCGCTGACGTAATACTAACTAAATATCTTTTTCACAAACTTATCAGAAAAATTTCTTACACTAACTTAATAAACGAATTACCATAATAACAGGCAACTGCTAAATCTTATTTGCATACCGGTGGTCAAAATATTATACTTGACTACATTAACCGGGGGTGAAAGAAGACCTTTGTTGTAAAACTGACTACAAAATAACACGTCATGCTCATGACGTAACACTAACCAAATGTCTTTTTGGCAAACTTGTTAGGAAAATGTCTTATATTTGTCGATCAGCAGCTTGTGTTCTTGATTGTTTTATCAACGCTCGTTTCAAATTTGTAAGTCCACATTGTTTTAATCTTTTTCTTATAATATATAAAGCTTAAAATAAATATTATTTTTATATCTCATCGGTTTGTTTTAGGCAATCAGCATGTCATCAAATTCCAAATAATAACTGTCAACCTCAAAGTACCAAAAACCGTCAACATCATCTAAAGACCATCAAAAAGATGATATCAAGGTCCTACGATATGGAATTATAACAAATATCCTAAACCAACGGTGAACGTGTCACCCATTGGGAACAATAATGTCAAACCCATTATATCTAAACCATGTCGTCGTTATTAACTAGTATTAATGACCCAATTTTATTTAGCTACTTTTAAGATTTATAAATTTAAAATTTTTTATATATATTTTTTTTAATTATATTTTTTATTTATATTGTATGTATTGAAATCAATATTTTTTTCTAATAATACAGTTTTTTTTTATCAAATAAAATTGTTTAATAGATTATTTTTTTAAAGATGGTACTTATTAGTTATTGCTATCCGCTTCAGACGGATTGCTCATATCGAATTTGTTTATCCTCAGTCAATACTGTGTAGTGCATCCAACTATTATACTTTAATAAAAAAAAAAGATTATGACATGATACAGTGTTAATAAAAACTTAATGTTATATTTTATCCAATCGTTTCTATTGTGCGTGTATTATTGATATAGTAAATGTGATAATAAATTTAATAATAGTCTTACCTATTGGATATTTATGAGGTGTAATAATGTCTAAAATACAAAAATGAAAAAAAAAAAATAGCCCTAGCCACGAGAATCATCTTATCCCGATTACTGACGATTTAAATTTTATGGTAATCATAGGCAGTGTTTTCCGCAACGTGTTTGTACTACACTCAGTACATTCAATTAATTTTTATAGAATAACCTTATACTATTTGGAAGGGGTATTCTGGTTATTTCCTTTTATCAACGATTATTCCTATACTTAGGCAATGATCTTATCCAAACTCATTCACAAATAAATAGAATTACATTTTGTTTTAAACACGGAAGACATATTTGCATTACACAGCACAAAACATTTAATATAAATAAATTATATTTATATTGTATTATATTCGGGTAACTATTATACGATTTATTTGAAAAACGAAACTGATTTTATTTTCAATCAACAATTGATTCGTCTGAAAACGTAAATTATTATTTTAAGTAAATATTATATATAATTAAACAATAATATTATACATAATACATAATAATAGCATTGAATGCGTACATAAAATGTTATCAGTTACAAAATAACTTCTACAAGGTAGCAAGAAGACATGTGGTGGTGGAAAATATAAAATATTTTAATTTTTAAATGCTTAAAAAAAAAATAATAATAATATAAGAACACCATAAATTCATAACCAATTGTTTTAATCTACAAACTCACTGCACGAATAAAATAATTAAGGGATTATTTTTACATTCAAATGGAAATGCGAATCAAAAATTCGTTTGAAAAATCTTATTTATACTTAGCATTTTTAATTCCTCAGTATTCATTACGTAAGTATGTCTTTTTTTTATTTTTATTTTACAATATTGATTTTTTCATTCAATAGAAACATTTAATACATAATAATATTATGTGTACTACGTAACAGGAACGTAGTCATGTTAACCGTTGAACCGCCGTCGTCGTCCCCGGCATTAGGAAACTGTAGAACGAGAGCCGTTAATGCTATACTCCCCTGGTACTCGGGACTCAATTTCGGGAGAACAGATGTAATACTGCTGTTCGCGCGGGGTCTAAATAAGTCGAGCCGGGTTACTATGGTGAGAAGCCATACGACGAGAAGCCTCTAAGCTCTAAGCCCATATGCCCCTTGTACTCGGGACTCAATTTCGGGAGAACTGATGTAAACATATTTTAATGTTTTAAGGAACCCGCGTGTATATGCTGTTAATTCATTCGATGTACTATGTGTTTTTATTATACGCGACGGCCATTTCAGCTTCCAATGAATTAACAGAGTATACTTAACAAATTTCAATTTTAACCAATACATAAAGTGCATGGGTGTCATAAAATAATATTGCTATATTTAGGTACTTTATAACGATCGATGAAGTAAGTACATTGTTATAAAAATGTAGATTGAATAAGTTATTGCTATATAATATTAACGTAGCTCAATCGTTTCAATTTTATTATAAATTTACAATACATTATAATCACATTCGTGTGAATGAACATTAACGTTACGTTCACATAATACATACCTATAGGATATTCTGCCCCTCCCCTCCTCAACCCTAACTTGGTGCAAAGCAACAACCCCTACTCTCGTATGTAGCTATAAAATTAATAATTTTTAGTTTTGAATTTTCCGCATTTATTGTACTTGTATAGAGCATAAAAGATAAAAGCAACACGAATCTTTTGTTTTTTTGGAACAAACGATTGTAGGTAATATTAAGTCTTCAGTAAATGCAAAGTTAGTTAATTTTCTTCAAATTGTTTATTAGGCACAACAATATATTATTTATTTAAATTATAAAATAATACAGATATTTACTTAATTTATTACTTATTTTAATCGCCATATAAGTAGTTACATTCAATTGTACTTAATATGCAAGATAACACTAAAACTAAAATACCAAAATAGAATAAATTTGTATGCGTTTTAAGTGTACTGACAAAGTTTTCGTCATTGGTAATGTCGTATACATGTAATACATGTAATTTCATTTGAAATTACAAAAATTAAATTACCAGCGTAAAACTTTGATAGTATGTCAAAGAATTTTCAAGTACAGTTTTTAAGACCAGTGAAAAAACACTAATTTTTAGTATTTGTAATTAAACAATGTACCAAATTGTCATATTTTTAATAAGCCCATCATAATCAGACCATTTTATATTGCATAATAAACCTTAGCCTTAAATGACGCTTGCACATATTAAGTAGGTGCCTTTGGCCTTGGCGGAGGTGCCGAACGCAAACGGTTTACTATGAATCATTTTTTCGACAATACAGTGCCGGAACTACTGAGAGGAAGGAGGAAGCCTAGAGACTGCAGAGGCCCTGGGCCAACTAAAATAGTCTATTCCCGAGCTTGATAATAAATTTCGCAATTAATATTAAAATCACAATATTTTGATGTAAAAATACAATTTTACGAATTACGGACAATAAATGAATAAAATAAAATTATCGGTGAACAAAAAATAAACCAATATTTTTCATAAAAAATAACAAATGACAAATAATAATATATGCTTAGAGTGAATTTCAAAAATAAAAATAAGAGTGAAATTTAGAGATCAAACATAAAAATAGCCAAAAATCAATAATCTTTTTTTCGATAATCCTAGCTCTGTTGTTTCTGCAATACACTGTTGGAATGTAAAAAATTAAATTTCATATAAGGTATTGCTTCTTATCTTCAAGTCTAACGGAATAGAATATAAATAAATTCATAAAACTATTTAATCCTTACAGTCTTCAATATAACAAATTATTAAACTTGATACTAACTAAAAATCAAAAAGACACAATGACCTGATATACACAATTATTTATTGTTTTAGATGAGCTCTCTTTAAGCACGGTCTGCTGTGTGAACTAACAAGTAACAGACAATCATTATTCATGTTTTTCGTGTAATAAAATTACATATAATATTTAGGTTTATTATTGACTATAAATACCGTTCTTCGATTGTCTTAAAAAATAAGTAGTTGGTGAAACGCAGTATTCGTGAAGTAGTTTAATATTTTATGTTAAATGTCAATAAAATTTAATATATAATAATTATTTATCATATTATAATATTGTAATGATATAAAATATTATAATAAAGGTCAATATTATAGTTCATATTTAATTGTTTATAGTTTTTTGAATAATTATTTAAACTTCACAAATTAACTATATTATACTTTTATTATATTTAATGAGATAACATATAGATTTAAGAAAATAGATTATATTATACGTAATATTATCACATTTAAATGGATAACATTTAAATTTAAAAAAATATATTATATTATAACCCTATGGCATTTGAATGTATGACATTAAATTTTGACAAATACCAAAAAATTATCAAAATATTTCATAGTTCCAATTACGACCAAAGGTGACATCTTAACACATCTATAAAAACCCAAATGACCCTCTGTCATACGTTTAGTCGCAAATTTTCAGTGTCTACTATTGTCGTTTAATCTCTATTTTCTGTTTAAAATTCTATTCATATTATACTTTTAATCATT